CTTTTGTTTCATTTTCATCTGCAAAAATTTGGTCACTTGATTACTTATCATAAAAATAAAATTTGTATCACAGAAATAATAACCCATTGTCATTGTATACAGTAATAATTACAATGCAATATAAAACTTATATTTCGGTTAAACGTTTTTTCTTTCTTTAAATCGGTTAAACGTTTTTTCTTTATAATTAATTAATTTAATTTAATGGAAATAAACAATTCAATAATATTTATTTTATTATACCTATTAATAAGGAATTTTATTGAATTTTTATAATCACATTAGTCACATGCTATAAGAACCTATAGATATTAATACTATGTAAAAAAGTCTCAAGTAATCACAATTGTTTATAATTACTTTTTTTTTATCGGACTTGACTTTAATTGTTTATGAATCAACAAAAATTTAAATATTTCTTATCCCAATTTTAAAAAGTAAAACTAATTATACCCAACCTCATAGATAATTAAATTTATAACCGCATAACTTGTACATTTAATCGGCCAAACGTTTTTTCTTTATAATTAATTTAATGGAAAATAAATAATTCAATAATATTTATTTTATTATAGCTGTTGTCTATGAATTAAAAAAGATTAATTAAATATTTAATCTTTAAAGTGAGACAACAAAAAAAATGCTCATTTTGATGACGATTGGGGCAAGGAATATTATTATATTTGTTATTTGGGGTGTTTGAAACTATAATATGGTATCAAAGAACTTTCTCTTTATTCTTCTGAATAATTAACCGAGAATACTATGATCTTCCTTAATAAGCATTTGAAAATAGAATGTTCTATTTATATTTACAATATTTACAATAGTCTGATGAACTTTCTCTTTATTCTTCCAAATAATTAACCGAGAATACTATGATCTTCCTTAATAAGCATTCGAAAATAGAATGTTCTATTTACAATATTTACAAAAGTTTGATGAACTTTCTCCGAGAAAATAATGATCCTCCTTAATAAGCATTATAAGAATTTGAAAATAGAAAGTTCTATTTACAATATTTACAAGAGTTTGATTTACGACTTATCTGGTGATTTTTAATTCAGCTAAATATAGAGTGCAATCAAATGAAATTTCGCGTAGCGCGACGTGTATGAAAGTACTTATTTTAAAAATTATTCTTTAGCCTTAAACCAATTTGGTCGACGAACAAAAAATTAGATAAATTTTGCGAGACAAATATGCGCCCATCAAAGAAATAACAAAGATAGTGGGTGGAACCAATTAAAGAATAGAAAACTTGGAAATATTTTCTGCATTATTATGCAATTTTCCGAAATATATAATAATATATGTGTGTTTTCAACGCACCCGCTTGGGTGACAGATAAGGGTGACAAATATGGTTTTTTTATAATAAAAATTGATATTCAACAGGTGTGACACAAAGGGACAAATTTTGCCCAACCCTTGCATTTAGTCATATGATAAAAATTTATAGCCCATGTGCCATAATGCTGATGCTTTACAAAACATAATTACAATTTAAAAAAGAAAATTGCTAAAGCTCACCCTTGGTGATTATCACCTCTGGGCAAAATTAAATTTACGTGGGCAAAGTTAGGGTTAGGGGTTGATCAGGGAATTATGTAATTTTGCCCGGCGGTGACAATCACCACCAGTGAGCTTTAGCAATACCCTTTAAAAAATATATTATTTAAATATCCATTCACTTGAGATCGACATATCCATCCGAATTTATGGAATAACAAAGATCCAGAAACTAATAAATATATGATGTTTTAGAATATACGTCTGATGGAAATCTTAGAGATTATTTAAAAATCATTTCGACAATAATAATTGGAATACGAAATTACTTAATTTATATCAGTTAGCAAATAATTTTAAAATTAATTTATACATTTCAGATTTTGGATTAAGTAAAATAGTTGGACAAAGTTTAGAAAATTCTAATAATAGAAATATCTTTGGTGTGTTACCTTATATTGCTCCAGAAGTTTTATGCGAAAAGAATATACAACGGCTGCTGATGTATATTCTTTTGGAATTATAGCTTATGAATTAATTACTGGGTTTGCACCGTATTGTGATGTGCCACATGATAAAGATCCGGCAAGGCAGATATGCAATGAATTATGCCAAAAATTCCATTTCATACTCCAAAATTAATTACTAGAATTATTATGAGATGTTGGGATGCTCGAGTTACTCATCGATTTACTTTTAAAGAATTGCGGGAAGAGTTGTGGAAATACTATTGGGATTATCGAAAAAATGATTTCAAAAATAATAAAAAAATTACAATTCAAATTCATAATGCAGAAAAATTTTCAAAACACCTAACAAATACAACAACCATAAATCCTTATAATTACAAAACACATCCACAGTCAATTTATACCAGTCGACTTCTTAATTATTCAAGTCTTCCAAAACCTAAAAATAATAAAAATTTTGAAAAAGAACTTAAAGCAGAAGTAGATTTAGTTATTTCTTCAAGTGTCAGTAAGTATCAATTCGTATTATATTATGTTTATTTTTATAATTTAATTTTATTAATTTTATTTTATCTTTATTTAGTTGCTTCTGGATTAGTTAATAGATTCTTAAATTAGATTTTAAAAATATTTTACTAATTATTATATTACAATGTATTTTATTATTACTTTTTTTATGAAATCATCAGCTCAATAAAAAATAAAGATTTTTATTTAAATTATCAGTGGCAGAATCACTGGTATTAGTGTTATTTCAATTACAAGTATTAACCTTTTTCACTTGAATTAATCGCACGCGTTTTCAAAGAGTTATATTTCAAGTTTCATATATTACCATAATATAGTCTGATATGCATTCCTAGAAATTTATAAGATTTCTGCTACAGAAACTTCTATCTTACGAAAAAATAAAAGTTGGTAAAATAATAGTGCATTTTTTAATTTTTTTTAAAGCATTGCTCAAAATGGTAACGAATGAGTTACGAAAATGATAAAATACATCGAAAATCAACAAACAATAATCAGTGAAACGTAACAATCAGATTAATTTTAGCATTCTCTTAAGAAAAAAAAAAAGATTAGCAGAAGTCTCATTAAAAATGACGAAAACACGTATCCATGTCGAAGTTTCTTGAGAGTTGGGATACATTCGCATTTTTAGTGATCGTACTAAATCTGACTTTTTTCTTTTGGCTCATCGTGTTGTTTGCACTTGTGTTTTTTGCTTTTTGTCTTGTTTTCATTTTCATCTGTATCAAATCAAATTAAAATTAGTTTGTTCACTTGACAAAATAAAATTCGTAACACAGAAATAATAACCATTGTGGTAACGTGTAATTTTTGAAACCAAGATAAAATTGTCTTTTGTACTACCGATCTTCGGTTAAACGTTTTTTCTTTCTTTAAATCGGTTAAACGTTTTTTCTTTATTAATTTAATGGAAATAAATAATTTAATTATTTATTTTATTATAAAGTCATGTCTCTCTATAATCACATTTTATATTCACCTAAATTAAAAATTTTATAATTAAGGACCAATACCTATTAATGCTCTGTAAAAAAAATTTTATATACGGTTAATCACATCACATTAGTCACGTGCCATAAGAACATATGTAAGTGATCACAATTGTTTATAATCACTTTTTTTTATTGGAGAATGAATCAACAAAAATTTAAGTATTTCTTTTAAAAATACTCGGAGGCTCGGAGGTAAAACTAGTTATACCTCAACCTCATAAATAATTAAATTAATGATTACATAATTACATTCAATCGGTTAAACGTTTTTTCTTTATAATTAATTTAATGGATAATAAATATTTCAATTATATTTTATTTTATCATAATTGTTGTTTATGAATCAACCAAGATAGTTTAATTAAATACTTTATCTTTAAGTATTAGTATTTCCCCAATTTATATGATGAATCTTAAAGTGAGACAACAAAAAAAATGCTAATTTTGATGGCGACTGGGGCAAGAAATATTATTATATTTGTTATTTGAGGAAATGGGATTCGGGGCGTTTGAAACTATAATATGGTTATTAAAGAACTTTCTCTTTATTCTTCCGAATAATTAACCGAGAAAACCATGATCTTCCTTAATAAGCAGTGCATTAACATTTGAAATAGAATGTTCTATTTTACAATATTTACAAGAGTTTGATTCCATCTTATCTGGGTTTTTTAATTCAATTAAAAATAGAATGCAATAAAATGAAATATATAGTTATTAGAGAACTCTCTTTATTCTTCCGAATAATTAACCGAGAAAACCATGATCTTTCTTAATAAGCAGTGCATTAACATTTGAAATAGAATGTTCTATTTACAATATTTACGGGAGTTTGATTTACACTTATCTGGGTTTTTTTTAATTCAGTTAAAAATAGAGTGCAATAAAATGAAATATATGGTTATTAAAAGAACTTTCTCTTTATCCTTCCGAATAATTAACCGAGAAAATCATGATCTTTCTTAATAAGCAGTGCATTAACATTTGAAATAGAATGTTCTATTTTACAATATTTACAAGAGTTTGATTCCATCTTATCTGGGTTTTTTAATTCAGTTAAAAATAGAATGCAATAAAATGAAATATATGGTTATTAGAGAACTCTCTCTTCATCCTTCTGAATAATTAACCGAGAAAACCATGATCTTACTTAGTAAGCAGTGCATTAGCATTTGAAATAGAATGTTCTATTTACAATATTTACGGGAATTTGATTTACAACTTATCCGAGTTTTTTTTTAATTCAACTAAATATAGAGTGAAATCTGAAATTTCGCGTAGCGCGACGTGTATGAAAGCGTCTATTTTAAATTATTCTTTAGCCTTAAAACCAATTTGGTCGAAAAGCAAAAGATTAGATAAATTTTGCGAAACAAATATGCGCCCATAAGTCATCTTTAGAAACTAATATATTAAAGTAAAAAAAATATATATATATATCATACACGAACATGTCATGAAGAAAAAATATTTTTTAATCAAATTTATTTATCATCATGACAACTAGTGTCCCAATTGGTCCTAAAATTGACGGCGAAACTCAAATTCGCCGTTCGGTTCTTTCACCTAATAAACTTATTACAGTACCTTCTGAAGGTGTTAATACCCTCTATGATGTATTCCAATATCGTGTGAGAACTTCTAAAACCAAAAATGCTTTTGGTTTTCGAAAAATTATTAAAATAATTGAAGAAGAAAAAGAAGTAACAAAGATAGTGGGTGGTGAACCAATTAAAGAAAAGAAAACTTGGAAATATTTTCAAATGTCTAGCTATGAATATTTAACTTTTTCACAAGCAAATGAAATAGTAAAAAATATTGGAGCGGGTTTGGTAAAATTAGGCTTGAACAAGAATACTAAACTTGCGCTTTATACATTCACAAAGTAAAATAAATTATTAATTTTTTTAATTTCATTTTCATTTTCAAAATAGATATTATTTTATAAATTCTAAATTTAAACTTTTCTTTTATTTATTTAGTATTAATTGGATGCTCGTATCTTACGGTCGGTATATATAAGTATCATACTTTTCCTTATTCTTAACTTTTTTAAATTGTATTTATTACATTATTAGGTTGCTATACACAAAGTATTACCTTTATGACCGCCTACGATACATTAGGAGAAGACAACATCATTTTTTCTATGAATGAAACTGAAATAAAGGCAATTTTCACCAATTCTAGTCTTCTTCCCACTTTAAAAAAAGTTGCGAGTAGCATTTATACCCTTGAACACGTGATCTATGATGGTGATATCGAAGAAAGTGACTTGAATGAATTTAGAATTGCTCACCCAAAAATAAATTTAATCACCTTGGAAGAACTTAAACAATTGGGAAAAGAGAATCCATTGGAAGATAATCCTCCAAAACCACAAGATTTGTGTTGCATCATGTATACCTCAGGAAGTACGGGGAGACCAAAAGGTGTTATAATTACTCATGCAAATGTTGTTGCTTCAAGTAAGCTTTGAATACTCAATGACATTTCTTAAAAGATATTTCAATGATAAATATTTTCAATGATATCAGATATATTCGTTAATAACCCAATGACCTTCTCTATAACAGTCGCAGGAGCAAAAGTGAAACTTGGACCGTTCCTCGTTCCAGATGACACATATTTAGCATATTTACCATTCGCCCACATTTTAGGATTTGTCATCGAAAATTGTTTTATTTACTTGGGTATGACTATAGGTTACGGAACCTTTAAAACGTTATCCAACGCTTCTGTACGTAATTGTTCAGGTGATATCCAAGAATTTAAACCCTCCATCTTTGGTGGAGTTCCTGCCGTTTTTGAGGCGATTAAGAAAGGTGAGTAAAAAAAAACTTTTAAATTTGATATATATTTATATATTGTTTTATTTACATAATTTTCTTTTCGCATCATAAAAAAAAAAACCAAATGACAGATATCTTAACAAAAATTAATGCTTCTAGCGTACCAAATCAAAAGATGTTCTATGGAGCATTGAGTGCTAAAAAATTCTTGAAAAATTATAGATTGCCTACAGGAATTTTGGATATGGTAGTTTTTAAAAAAATTAAACAGCAATTTGGTGGACGATTAAGATTATTACTTGCAGGTGGTGCACCTTTATTTAATGAAACTCATGAATTTCTATCAACTGCTTTGTGTGCTATGATAACTGGTTACGCTTTGACCGAAACTTGCAGGTAATTACATACTATATTTTTTATTTATAAATCAACTAGATTAAATTAAATTATTTGAAATATCAAATTTTATTATTTTTATTGTAGTTCTGGTACGATGTTGCCTCCACCAGAAATTAGGAGTGACACCTGGGGAATAGCTGGTTCACTCTTCCCAACTATAGAAATGAAATTAGTCGATGCTCCTGAAGCTGGTTACCTTTCCTCCAATAAACCTAATCCTCAAGGTGAAATATGGATAAGAGGTGGACCAGTTTCTCAAGGTTACTATGAAAATGAACAACTAACCAAAGAGGCCTTTACTGAAGATGGATGGTTTAAAACTGGGGATATTGGTGAATTCCTTAAAAGTGGATCATTGTCTATAATTGATCGTAAAAAGAATTTAGTGAAAATGGCTCACGGTGAATACATTGCAATAGAAAAACTTGAGTCAGTTTATGGATCTACATTATTTGTAGGAAATCTTTGTGTACTTGCCGATTCTTTGCAAACCCGTCCTGTGGCAGTAATCTTGCCAGTAGAAGTAAGGATTTTGGATTTAGCCAAAGATATGGGAATAAAAGGAGGATTTGAAGAGTTATGTAAAAACGCAGAAATCAAGAAAGCGATTTTGACAGCATGCAACGAACAAGGGAAACGAGCGAATTTCAAACCAGTAGAATTTTTGGCAGATATTATCTTATGTTCCGATGAATGGACTACCGAAAATGTAAGGAATTATAATTAGAATAAAATCTGAAATTATAAATTTTCAATATTAATTATTATTAATTATTATCATTATTATTTATTATGTTATTATTAAGGGTCTTTTGACAGCAACGAAAAAACTTAAGCGAATAGAAATTAAAAAGAAATATGAAGAACAAATTAAACTTTTGTATGCTGCTAATACCCATAAATAAGCATATGTTTTTGATACGTATTATTATGATTTATGACGCTTTTCGGATTACGTTTGTCTCTACCCTTCAAATATGTCTAAAAATTTTTCTCACATCATTTATACAATATATTTAGTTAGTTTTTGATCCATTATGATTTTATTATTTCGGAATAAAGGAATTTGCTTTGTTGAATTATTAGTATAATTTATTGATTTTGTAATTTTCGTTATTAACTGTTAAGTGTATTATTAAAAAAAAATGATGAGCTGTTTTTTCATTGGTTGATTTTATTTTATTACATTCTTGGAGATTATGATGTGATTATAATGTGATTATTGAAGTTGAAAATAAGAAAACTTTCACTCGGCAATCTACGATATCGGTCATTCTATTCAAAAAGGAATTGGCTAATATTCCTCATAATAAAAATAGTATTAAAATAATTTCTAAACCTCGATATTTCACCTGAAAGTTTTAATATTCATCATTGTTAAATTAAAACGATGAATGAATAAATTTCCCTAGAGCACAAATAACTATCAACGAAGCACCAAAAATTACTTCTCCACCAAAAAGAAAGAAATTATTAGATCTATAAGATTAAATTTTTGATTGGTTTTTATGAATTTGTATAAGATTTAGAATAAGGAATTGCTCGCTAACATCATATTTTAATAGTCTTTTTTTCATCCCTAGTTATCTTATATATCTACTTCATCCATTCCTTCTATAACATATTAAAATTTCCCAACAATGGTATTATTAATAAAAGATAAATAGTGAAGTAACGATAGCTATCAAATTTAATGTATTGCCAGAGGAAAGAGTGAAAAAGTTGTGCCTACGAATCGTAAGAATATTCGTTGATACTATTAATTAATAAAAACCTTTATGTAAAATCTCAATTATTGTCATAGAATGCATAGTAATAGCCAAAGAGTCACAAAATAACCATGCTATGGACTCCAGAAATTTTGCTATAGTATTTATGAGCTGAGCTTATTATAATGAATGACTACTAACATCTATGTCAACATTAGAATCTAATGTTTATATGCAGGATTTTTTCCTTCATCGAGAAAATTATAGTCATTAAGAAAACTTCTATAAAATAAGAAAAAATGTAATTAACGGTTTTAATGTTTATATTTAGCTAATAATAGTATTATTAATGGTGGTGATACTATTATATTTTAAGCAAATATTTATTTATAAATATTTCGTGCTATAGTTGATATTTTTAAAAAGATTCCATTTTAAATCCGTACAACATTATTCGGTAATTTTATTTCCACCTTTTTTTTCAATTAAATTAAGAAAATAAAATGATTAATTGTTATGAATGCGATTATGAAGTTGGTGCAAACGGTGCAGCCCACGGAATTTCGAAAATAATTTTGATAAATGGGACAAGTGGGAGAATTCTCGTCATTTTTCGAATGAATGGTGGATCTATTATAACTATTGGATTATTAAATTGGGATGAGTCTTAAACGTAATATTGAGAATGAGCGAAAAGGTCATATGGTTCTTTTCGAAAAAGCACTTTTCCAAAATCTTTTTTTTTTGAAATTGTTTAGAAAAAGTGATCTTAGCAAATCACATGTTGATCACTTGAGAAATTTCGTCACATGTCTCTTTCTCCCCCCTTGAACAATGCAAAAAGCGATTAATAACCCTGTAGCAAATAATATATACCAAACAACAACTCCAATAATAACCTTGTTATTATTATTATTCTTCTCATTAGTAGGAATATTATTATTATTATTATTATTATCATTATCACTTGTAGAATTATTTCCGGTACTTCCATTTTCATTATTTTTAGGAGCAGTTTTTTTTTATAAATTTAAATATGCTATTGCTATTATTAATTGAATCAAATGTTAAATTTGCAATTGATATTCCAGCAAATTTATTACTGGTCACCCATTTGAATTTATGATGTAAAGATTCAGGATCTTCGTAAGCAAAAGATACATTGAGTTGTGAATTTGAAAGAATCGTAGAGTTGGTATCAGTATCAAAATAACGAATCCAACCATTATTATTCTTAGCTATACACGTATCCGTTAATGCAGTATTCCTTATTTCTTTCCATGGCCAAATAGAAAAATTATTATTTTTTAAACACGTATCATCATTTTTTATCAATCCAGTTATGGACCCAGGATCAGTATTCATAATTCCACTGAGATCAAATCCCCAAATCAATTTTTTAAAATCCATTCCGTTAAGTCCTTTAAATAAATTATTGAAAGTAATACTATAATTATCATCTGGATCAAAGATAAAATGCCTAAAAAATATATGAAAATACTAATTACCTAATGCAATAAAACGACTGATTAGGAAATTTATAAAAGAAAAGGGAGAAATTAATAAAATAACTAGCCATTTATTTTTTTGGGGGGTATCCACCACATAAATAAGATTGGAATTGACAATGTTAATTAGTGTCACATTTGTTATACATTTTTTTTAATT